TTTGTGGATTCAAGACATACTATTGCTAAAATGGCAATACTTCCCAAATTGATCTACAGATTCAATGCAATCCTTTTCAAAATTTCAGTTGTCCTTTTCTTTTTTTTGTAAAAATTGACAAGTTGTTCCTAAAATTTGCATGTAAATGCAAGGGACTCAGAATAGCCCAGGCAATCTTGGAAAAGAATAAAGACAAAGTGTTCACACTTCTCAATTTCAAAACTTACTACAAAGTTACAGTGATGAAGACTCTGTGGTACTGGCATAAGGAAAGACATACAGATTAAAGGAATAGGACCCAGGGTCTACCAGTTGATTGATTTTCATTCAACAAGAGTGTGAAGACCAATTGAGTGGAGAATGAATAGTCTTTTTAACAAATTGTGCTGAGGCAACAGGATATCTGCATAAAAAAGAATGAATTTGGATGTCTACTTTGCATCATATACAAAAATTAGCTAACACTGGATCTTAGACCTAAATGTAAGTATTGAAACTGGGGCACCTGGGTGCTTCAGCCAGTTAAAGCATCCTACATTGGGCTCCCAGCTGTGAGGGGTGGGTGGGGATGGAGTTTGCTTCTCCCTCTCCCTCTGCTGTGCTCTCTCTCTCTCTGTTAAATAAACAAAATCTTAAAAAAATAAATATAAGTGCTAAAACCATAAAACTCCTGGAGAAAAACATAGACATAAATTCCTGTGATTTTGAATTAGACAATGATTCCTTACATAGAAAACCAAAAGCACAACCAAGAAAAAAAAATTGGACTTCATCAGAATCATGAACTTTTGTGCTTCAAAAGTCACAATAAAGAATGTGAAAAAGACAACCAACAGAATGGAAGAATATATCTGTAAATCGTGTATCTGATAGGGATCTAGTACCCAGAATGAAAAGAAAACTAAATTCTCAACTTAACAATAAAAAGAAAATTAGCTCAATAAAAATGGGCAAAGGATTTGAATAGATATTTCTCCAAAGAAGATGCATAAATGGTCAATAAGCACAGGAAAAGATACTCGACATTATTAGTTATTTAGGGAATGGAAATTAAAACCGCAATGACGTATCACTTGAAACCCACTGGATAGTCTTAATAAAAATAATGGGCCATCACAGGTGTTGGTGAAGATGTGGAGAACGTGGAACTTTCATATATTTTTGGTAGGAATATAAACTGGTACAATGACTTTGGAAAACATTGTCATTCTCTCAAAAAGTGAAACACAGAATTGCCATATAATCCAGCAATTGTACTCCTATGTATAAAGCCAAGAGAACTGAGAACACGTGTTCACAAAAAAATGTACACAAATGTCCATACTAGCATTATTCTTAATAGCAAAAAATGGGAACAACTCAGATGTTCAAAAAATGATGAACAGATAAACAAAATATATCTGTATAATAAAATATTATTCAGCCATCAAAAGGAATGAACAAAAGATCATGGATGATATGATTTCATTTAATGAGATGTCTAGAATAGGCAACTCCATAGAGAAAGAAAGTTATTGAGTGCTTGTTAGGGATATGGGAAGGAGAGATTGAGAAATGACTGCTAATGGATATGGGTTTTCTTTCTGGGGTGCTGAAAATATTCTGGAATTAGATAATGGTTATGGTTGTACAATTTTGTGAATATACAAACAACCACTGAATTGTGTATTTGTAAGGGATGAATTTTATGGTATGTAAATTATAGCTCAGTAAACAAAGTATGAAATAATTTTTATAAAGACTTGAAATGCAAACACTCCTAAGAGAAGCTTTCAGTGACTGATAGCTTACCTACTGCAATACATGGCAGGTGCTGTCTAGTAGGTGATCAACATATAGTTGTTGAATAAATAAATAAATAATCAAATTATTTCCCCAGGAATCAGGTTTTCATGAAGGAAGAGATAAAAGACCAAGAGAAGCTTGAGGGTAAAGCTTACAATGCAAAGGAAGCAAGGGTGAGGGGGAGTGATCTGGGAAGGGGAAAGCCTGGAAAACAATAACTAAGACATTTCCTCTTTTCACATTTTTGCCTGGACTATCTCCAGATGCTCCTATTGTCTCCTCACTCTGGCCTGGATTGGTTTTACTCCCCAGTGCATCCCTAGTGCCTGATAACTGCTAGGTTCTCAGTGGAGACTTGTTTAATAAATGAATGATTAAAACTTCAGGAGCTTGTCTGAGACTCCTTGGCAATTTTAGGGGGGAGATAGGGCTTGAGAAAAGTTGCAGATATTAGGTAAGAAAGCCTGCTTTACCTTTTGAAATAGGATCCTTCTTTGGACGGAAAAGCTAAGCCTTGGCCCCTCAGCCCTCTGCATAGCTCTGTACAAGGTTAGGAATCTCCCTTGCCTCGTCTCCTACAGCGAGGCCTGGAGCTAAGCCAGACCATAAGAAGGAAACAGCAGATCTTGCAGTTATTGGTGGACTTGTTCTGACCTAATGGTGGGGAAGACCCATGGGTTCACTTCTGTCTCTAAGCCATGCAGTTGAGAGAGTTGGCCGGAGACTGCTGTGGCAGGTTTTATGGGAATGTTCATAGTAAGGATTGTACTCAGTCAATAATACACACTTGCTGTGGACACCCGGGTGGCTCAGCGGTTGGGCGGCTGCCTTCGGCTCAGGTCATGATCCTGGGATCCAGGATCGAGTCCCGCATCAGGCTCCTGCCAGAGGCCTGCTTCTCCCTCTGCCTATGTCTCTACCTCTCTCTGTGTGTCTCTCATGAATAAATAAATAAATCTTTAAAGAAATACACACTTGCATATGTATGGCTTTGTATATCTGTGTTATTAAAGACAGTATCAAACGTGTAAAACACACATTTATGTGTATAGGAGAAATGTGCATTCACTTAACAAATAATCCCTTATATACCTTTAAGAATACACTTAATAAACAAATTTATTGGAATAATGTAAGAAGAACAGGACCGATTTTTTGTCCTGCTCTGTCACTAAGTGTGGGTCTTCCCAGGTCCTCACCTGCAGAAACCCAAATTTCATTTCTAGCTTTTGAGTCTGCCTTTTTGCACTTACGTGAAAGAGGTGAGAAGGGGCAAGCTAAAGCCTTTTGTAAAAAATAATACCAGATAAAATCAACATGAAATGAAGATGGATTTCTCTTATAATATCAGGGAATAATAATAATAATAATAATAATAATAATAGATTTTTACTCTCATATAAATTAAGATATGGATGAGGTTAAAAACAGGGGCCCACGAAAGCCTTAACTCAACAATGGGAACAGATTAGCTACTCATCTGCAATCAAGCACTCTGAGCAGGGTAGGTGTTGACCATTATCTCTCAAGTTCTAAAACAATGTAATAGTAGATCACAAATTTTTAGCACTTCCTGAATGCCAAGCATCATGCTGAATAGTGTACTATTATTACATCATTTAAGCTTCACAACTGTCTTATGAAGTAGGTACAGTTATTGTTTTCTTTTTACAGATGAAGAAACTGAGGCCCAGAAAAGTTAAGTATCTCGTTCAAAGTCAGCAGTTAGCAAATGAAAGAGATTTCAAATCCAGGCAGTGTACTTCCAAGCCCAGCACTCTTTTAACTACTTTAACTCTTTGACTCTTGTTTTATGATTCTAAGATATGAAATAATGAATTGAGCGTATTGTGAGCATCCATTCTCAAACTATAATGTAAGAAATAGACTAAGAGTAGAGTTACTGGTTTATCATCAATGGAGGAAGGACCAATCGTTTAAAAAAGATTTATTTATTTTAGAGAGAGGAGAGAGAGAGCACAAGTAGGGGGAGAGGCAGGAGAGGGTGAGAGAAAGGGAAAGAAGCAGACTCCCCACTGAGCATGGAGACAGATGCTGGGCTCAATATCATGACTCTGAGATCACTACCTGAGCAGAATCCAAGAGTCAGATGCTCTCCTGACAGCCACCCAGGTGCCCCAAGGAAGGACCAATTCCTAAGCCACATCACAACTTTGCAAGAGGACTCCTTTTGGTGAGTAAGTTGGGTTAGTCAGAGTAAGATGGGTCAGCCATTGGAACAGGTCATGCAAAGCCCAGGCAAATGACAGTCTTCAGAGTCTTGGTTTTCTATGGTGGTCTGCTCCTCAGTTCTCATTTGGTTTCTGGGCATAGAGAAAATAAATATAGAAGGTAAGGGAAGAAAGGAGTCCTAGAGGTAGACAGAAGGATGCTTCAGGGAGTCTACCAATCACTCTTATTCAGAGGCAAAAATAGCTAGCAAGTGCCCAATGACATGGAATAGCAGTTCAGGTTGATTCCAGCTCTCCATGGTTAGATTCTCAGGATTTGGTTTATGAGCAGTAAATTCCTCCATGAGGTTTGTCTTTTTGTTTTATTGGAGAAAGTTCCCTCATAAAGTTCCTCTCCAGACCATCAAAACTCACTCAAACTCTTGGGAACTACACATTCCATCTGCATGCCTCATGATTTCCTCCGCTGGAATGTGTCTTCTTCCCTCTTCTGTTAGTAGATCCATCTCAATTTTTCTTCCTCTGCCTCTAGCCAATCTCCACTAGTGATCCCAAGAAACTTTGTTTTCCTAGAGCTGCCATCTTGAAAATGTTGCTTCCTCCTGGAGGAACTGCTTTATGAGTAAGCCAGGACAACTCTCTCCATTTATCCATAAGATGAGGGGGAAAAAAAAAACCCTATGAGTTAGTATGGAGTTTAGATGTCATTTAGTTAGGCCTACCTCCCAACATGAAAGTGGTCTTTATACCAAGTGGTCATCTAATGACTTTTAAATACTGTCAGAGACAAAGAACAACCAGTTCAATTTTCAGACAATTCTGTTAGAAACTTTTCTGTTATAGGGCAGAAATGTGGTATCTACCCCTAAGTTCCATTTCTGCTCTCATTCATAAGATAAATCTTTAAGATCTCTTTCATGGCTTTTGCCCCAGTAGCCACCTCAAGAAATTATCTACTTTTTAAATTAAGGCTACATGTCTTGTTTTTTCAATGATTTCTATGTATTCTTTTTCTTTTTTCAGGGATCAAAACCCATGACCCTGAGATCAAGACCTGAGCTGAGATCAAGCGTCAGTTGCTTAACCAACTGAACTATTCAGGTAATTCCTACGTATTATCAACAACTCTTGGGGCCCTTGGGTGGCACAGTTGATTAAGTGTCCAATTCTTGGTTTCGGTTCAGCTCATGATCTCAGGATCTTAATCTCAGGGTCCTGAAATCAAGCCCAATATCAGGCTCCAAGCTCAGTGAAATTTCTCTTCCTCTGCCCCTCCTGTGCTCTCTCACTCTCTTAAATAAATAAATAAATCTTAAAAAAAAAAAAAAGCAACCACCTAATTCTCTTGGAGGATAAGTCCAAAACTGAATAAAGGCCTTTTCCAGGTAGGCTAAGAAGGAGACGGTGGCACAGCTGATATAACTTCTATGTTCTATGTTCCATATCCTAAGAATCTGTTATTTATTTATTTATTTTTGGGGGGCAGCTTCACTTCCATGTTAACCTTTAAGATTAAATTCTTAAGTTTTTCTTATGATTGCTACTATTCAGACATATTGGATCCTTTATGATCTAATAATAAGATAATGAGTGGACCAAGCAGAATGGTCTTCTTTAGTAGTGAGGGATATTCTCTGAGTTGTGACTATCTGTGCAGATAACTGGTGAGCAGTACAAAGGCTTAGGGCTCTATGCTGTCATGAGATTGACTTAATCACATGGTGAATGATCCCGAGAGAACTCTCAAACAAGGCAAAGGGTCTGAGATGAAAGAGAAAAACCCATTGTTTCATTAGATATTTAGCAGGATGAGACTTGGGTACTTGATTTAGGTATGAAAATCAGGATAGAATTTGCCAAAGAAACCAGAGATAGATAATATCCAAGGTCAGGAATGAGTGGAATCCAGTGGCTTTATTTCCATTTACTGATGTGATGAGAAGAAAGTTAGACCTGATATCTCTTCTCTGAGCTGACGTTGTATAATCTGTGAGCATTTAGTGTACAACTTATAGACCTTGATAAATTCTTATCCCTGAACTGAAAACATTTGTCTTGCAATCAAGACAAAATGAAAAAATGTCTCACCTGTTCTTTGCTAACACCCCAGCTCACCACTGAGAAACTACAGGGAAAAGAACCATAAGGATGTGTTTCTAAGGCCCCCTTCTTAAAGTTTCCTAGATGTGGGGAGACCCAAATTTCTTCCCATAATCCTCTAGGCATCTTGTGGTCATAGGTATAGCAGATTTGGAGTTACAAATTCAAAACAGAGATGGGCACCGCCTCCTAGTCCCAGGGGAGGAGGAGGCTTCCAACACAAGTGAGGGTAGAATAGAGCCCCTGGGGTCAGAAGGAAAGTATTGGTGAGAGGAGTGAAGGGTGACATCTCATAGTAGCTTGGTCTCTGCCCCTTGCCTCTTTCTGCTTCCCATTGCATCTCCCACTGTTGGGGCCAACAGGCTGAGGAGCCATGATTCTGCACTAGGGGAAGAGAGCATAGAAGGGAGGCCCATCATTTTCTCCAGACCCCAGCCTTAAACAAGAGTAGCAAAAGGACTTAGGGAACTTCCTGTATGGGCTAGTCCAGCTTTCGAGGCTGAAGTCTGGGGCAATATTAAGGGATCTGTTTGTCCTGAGAGCATCCCTGTCTAACTGGCCCTTGAGGAACTTAGTGGGGATGGTGCTTGGTAAGAGTCCCAGAGAGCTCACCATCTCTCATCTATCTTGATAAAGCCTGGCCCTAGAACCATCTTTTGGGTCATCCAGGGACATGGATTCCTAGCACAGTGGCTGGCACCTACTAAGCACTAAATCCACACAAATGATATCATATAATTAAAAATCAGATCATTTTTCTAAAATAGGGTTAACCATTCTCAAACATCTTGAATCTGGAGGACCTGAAAGTATTTTTGATTGCATGAGTCACCACAGAAGAACTATACAGAAAATGATTTTGTTATTCTTATTCCTGACAGATAGCTAAGCACAAAGTGACTTCCTGAAAACCCCACAGAGCGTTAGCAGAGGCCTTGGGAAAAGAACTAGAGGCCCTGCCTCGTCCCTTGCTATGTTAGGCAGCAAATCCTGCTTTCCTTCGCCAGGAACAGCAACCCAACAATGCTTCCTCTGCCAGATACTAGCTTCCCTGCCGAGTCAGGCAGGACTGGAAAGGCAGATGTTAGCCAAGTGGAGCTCGATTTGAGTCATATCCTGGTAAATGTGTGTCAGAAGCAGGTGAAAGATGTTAAATTTCACACAGACTGTGCACCAGATGAAAGGTAAGGAGCATAGCAGCCCCCACTTACCTTCATGCCCAAACCACTTTCTGTTATGCAGAGAGAAACACACCACAAAGTTGCAGAGCAGAATGCAGCATCATCCCCGGGGCTAGGAGTTAGCATGCACGGGGCAGCAAGAGTGCTGACACCGGGGTCTAGCTTCCACCAGACATGGGACATTGAGACTCAAAAGAGGCAATGATTGCACAACAACGTGACTGTATTTAAAAATGGTTCAAATGATACATTTTATGTGTATTTTGCAACAATTAAAAAAAGAAACTGACAACATGAGCAGCAAAGTACTAAGCAACAACAGCAGCAAGAATAAAGGTAATGATTCTTGTATGCAAGCAGTGTAATAGGACACAAAAGAGCTTCCTCTCAAGCTGATTGGAGAATCAAGTGGGACATTGTGTGTGCAAGTCCCCTGTGAAGACTGTACTAGTGTACACTTTATCATGGTGTGTCTGTGCTTCTCACCTCTTGTCCTGCCCAGCCTGGTTCCTGGGACCCGAGAGGAGTCCTCTCTTCACCAAAATACAACCTCATCCAAGGCTGAAATTTTCCTCCGGGGGGTCTGCCTCGAGCCTCACTGTCGGCACATGCTCTCTCACCACACGTGGCTCCCTGCACTCGTGGGCAAATGTCTGTGCCTTCCTGTTTCCCAGCTGAGACAGGCTGATATTTTCAAAGGAACATTACTAGAAATTAAAAGAAATAAATGAGGAAATAATGACAAGTTGCGTAAGTAAAATGGTAGTTTTACTTTATTGAACGCATAGTATCTGTTAATCATGAAGCTAAGTCTTTGACATCTCATTTTTAATCCTCACAATACTCTGGAAGGAAACTATTACTGTATTTCTTGAAAATCAAGGGAACTGCTCAGAGACCTTAGGCACACAGCAAGGCTAAATCAAGACTCAAACCTAGTCTGACTGGCTCTAAAGTCTTTCTTTACTTTTCCATCCATCCTGCTCTTGGATTTCCCATCCAAAGGACTTCGTTGAAAGAGCAGAGAGCTTTAACAGGTGCCTGCATATCCCATGATAACCATACTCTACCCCTGGTTGTTGGCACATTTTTAGGTCTTGGCCTGCCTCCCTCAGCTCCTGGCTCTTTCTCAGTAAGCTCGCGGGGATAAGGGCTGTTTGCTCGTTCAGCACTACACCCGTATGACCAAGAACAGAGCTTGGTATTTGGAGCAGAGAGTAGGTGCTTACAGATATTTATTGGATGGAAGAATGAATGACTGATCTCATAGCGACTTCATATTCTCCTCAGCACCCAGGGGCTGGTCTGTCAGTCCATTTTTGTCCTGCTATCCAAGAGCAGATATCTGTAAGTCACTATTCAGGCCCTAGAGCCCTTCTTCTTACTACTGGTTTCTAGGTAACCTTATTAGCTTTCCATAAACTTACCGAGTTCCATCAAATGAATAAGTCCTTTCATGGCCTGTGTCAACTTCTTTGCCCCCAGTACACTACAGACTGTATTGTTGACCGCAGCGAATGATGATGGTGATCATGACCCTGGTGATGATGGATAACCGACATTTATGGAGCAATGAATATGTTCTAGGCATCATGCTAAGGTCTTTATATAAATCATCTCAATTAATCCTCACAATATCCTTTGACATTGATCCCCTGATCCCATTTCACAGAGAAGAGAAACAGACTGAGTGGCTCAGGGAAATGGCCAAAGTAATGCATAATTCTTTCTGCCTTCAAACTTTAAACTACTTTGTATTTTGTGACCCTAAATTGTTGTCCCCTTCATCTCACAGAATACACTGTCTTGAAACAAAACAAAACAAAACACAAACCTCCACCCATTACAGCAAACCTATGATATCACAGTACCCTCCAATGACTATACCATCTGCACCATCAGATTTAGCACCCACTCTGCAACAGAAAGGATACCCTTTTACAGATAGATTTGGAATAGTCTACTTGGTTGATGAAATTGCCTCCCCTGCCCCTCTAGGATCTTTTGCCGGCACTGTACTTCCTAACCCGAGTTCTTTCAAAGCACATGGTCCTTCCAGAAAGCCCTCACACTGTATAACTTTTGGCTGGACTCCACTTAAAATCAGTATTTTGCACTTAATCTGTTTCTAGATGGAGCAATCAGGATCAAGAGGATTTATGAGGAGTGCTTTCCTAGAGCCTGACCTTTCTCTCATGTTTTATTATTTATTTGTAGTCTAGTGTCTTCAGTGAATTTCAGCCCCATCCTGGGGCCTCCAACTGTGCCATACTGTCAGATAGCCCTTCACTGCTGGAGCTGATGATCTTGGCAATGAAAAGAAGTGGGGGCAAAGGTGAAGCGTGGGGCCTGGCAGCTTAGGGGGTGACTTCTCAAGAGCTTGTTGTAAGCCGTGTCTTTGATTCAATTCCGGCGCTCCGTGGTCAGTTTCCTCATGATTTTGAGCATGCTCGCTGCACCTTCCTTTGCACCTGGCTGACTTACCTTTTGCAGTGAGTTCAGCATTGGAGACAGAGCAGGGAAAAGAGAGAAGTTTCAGTCCTGTGTGAATTCATTTGGAAAAGTAAGCATGTAGGATTTAAGCAAATCTCCATATTGCCCCTGGAATGGTGTGAGGTCTTTACAAAACCCAAGCAGTATAGCTGACGCCCCTTCTTTTCAAGGCCAAGCATTCCATGACTCTACAGTGAGCAAATCTATGTCCCCAGATTTGTTAAGGAGGAACCCTTCCTCCTTCCTCACCTGAGTGGGAACCTGGATAGTCCCCACGGAGGATTTCCTTTGTGGGATTTCTCAAGCTTCACCTTCAGACAGGTGGGG